TGTGCCTGTCTGTGTATCTGTGTGTGTCTGCGTGCGTGTGTGTATCTGTGAGTGTTTTTGTGTCTGTATGTGTGTGTGTTTGTGTGCATGTGTGTCTGCCTATCTGTGTGTGTGCGTGTCTGAAGACAGGAAACATGTAAAAACAAACCGTAAACTATCGTACCTTCAGTACGTTGTGCAGTTCCAATCTAGAGATTTCCCCGTTCCCATCCAGATCGTACATGTTGAACGCCCACTTCAGTTTCTCCACGACCGAGCCCCTCAGTAGCGCGCTCATGCCCGTCAGGTACTCCCTAAAGTCCACAGTCCCGCTGCCGTCCCTGTCAAAGGCGTGAAAAATCCGCTTGGCCATCGCTATCTTCCTCCCCTCGTCTCCCGACTGGAAGAAGTTGACGTAGAAATTGACGAAGACGGGCTCTGTCAGCAGGCCGTCCGGGCAGTCGGCGTAGAAGAGGCGGTACCAGGTCTTGACTTCGGACTCGCGGAAGTTGGTGATCCGGGTCAGCTGCTCGACGATGTTCCGCCGTCTGCTGTGCGTCCGGGACCGCAGCGCCAGTCTCGTCCGGAATTTCGTTTTCACAGCCCCCATGTTGATGATCACCTTCCGCATGCTACATTACAAGTCGATTTTTTTCCAGAACGACCTGTTGAGGAAATAGTCTATTCAGGGCGCGCAGTCCCTTGTCAAACCGAGCCACGCGTAGCCAGCTAATTGAGTCAAACGCACACGAGTTGCTCTTCTCGACTGCCTCCGTCAGTGTGATGTCGGTTTTGAAGAAATGGTGCGCGCAGTCTCTGGGCTAACCGAGCTAGGGAAGCAAGATTTAACTTGAGCCAAATGAACACACGTGTAGTTCCTCTCCACTACGCGTACGATAGCCAGCTTTAACTTGAGTCAAACGCACACGTACTAGTTGCTCTTCCCCAGTGTGCGCAGTTCCTGGACAAGTCGAGGTACGATAGCTAGCTTTAACTTGAGCCATGCAAACGCACACGGGTAGCTCTTCTCCGCTGCTAACGTCACTGTGATGTCGTTCTACAGATATATACTTGAGCCGCGCGCGTTCATCAACTCAGCCTCACGCGGCGAAACAAGCACACCGGGATCTCAGGATTTCAAGTTCACAACTCAATTTTGCGTCTTCTGAAAAATAAAACAGTTCATGTTGAGTGCGACAATAACAGACGAACAGAAGCAGAAAAAGAGACGTTCTTTTGCATCTGACAACGGGAAGTCGCATGTCACATGCACAATGTCACATGAGATTTGTCATATTTTCACAGTCACTGCGCTCATTACAGTAACTCTCCATTACCTTAAAAATAACAGTGATTCTTAAACACAATTTGAAAATCGTGAGATCAAGCATCATATTACAGAATGTATATAATAACAATATTTTCCCTTCAGGAAAATCACGGTAAAACAGGTAAAACAACAATAAAATATAGCTCCTGAACATGGAAATGACTTGATATTGTGGTTTACTGTGGTTTATAAATGATATGACTCGCACAAATCACGCCTGTAGGCTGGTAAGCCTCCCTAGTAAAACGTAAATAGTTGCTTAGAAGTCGGAAATGACCGCTGGGATTTCTCGTCTGTTCGCAGTTACAGTCCTTGGCTACAAGATAGCGCGCTAACCACCGGAAGGGACAAGCACAACGGCACAACAATTTGTCAAGTAGCGTTTCTTTGTGAAGTACATTGTCTGATCTCCCTCCCGCCAAGCAAAGCTCTGTACGGTTCCGCTGTTTTATCATTCCCCCACAGCCGCATGGCTCGTATTGCCCCTAAGTACGATATAATGCCGTAGAGTAAAAAATAAAGTGGGCGAACCTATCCAGTCATATGGGAAATGCGCACTTCAGCCGCGGATTGATAATCCTTCTCTCATCAAGCTTCCTTCCCTACACACCACATCTGTGTGGCCTTTAAAGGTCAGGGGCAATCCTGTAGAATCTTGAGAGTTATGACTCTAGTGAGTGGGCATGCATTCTTAGCCGTGCCAGAACGAACATTCGGAGCGGCAGAATGCTATTTTCCCTTAGGCCTTTGTAAGTTTGTAAAGTGGGCTACATTGCCTGGAGTGGTGGTCAACTAGCCTTACGGGTTGTGGCTAAAACTCGTCTACATTTTCAGCAGGATCCCTGTCACCCTGAGGTTTAAAAGGATAAGTGAAAAATGCAGATGGAGTTGAAGCAACCTGGAGGCATTTGTGCTTATGTTTGATACCGTACTTGACAACGCCGCAAGTAATAACAGTTTTGGTATTGTGGTCACGTCTTGTCTTGTGCCCAAGCGGTATATACATGTGCTGTTGTAGGTAATTTCATAGGATAATATTGAAGCTATATACATGTAAGTGGAAGGTACATTCACTGTGAGTGAGTTTTTAAAACACTTCAGATCATAGATATATGTTTTAGGTAGAATTATGCTCTTTGACCCGTGTTCGAACCCAAGCATGTCCTCTTTCTTTTTTCCTCTAATACCTTTACTTTTTGTCTAACGGTTCTGTCGTACATTTGCAATTGAAATATTGCTTGTATACGTCTAAAATGTTTTATCCTTTCAAACAAGTTACAATGATACACATACAGATATGACATCAATCATTCAGCGATATGACAACGACAACGACCGTCTACGAGACGAAAAAGCGCGGCGACGACAATGGCCATCCTAATGCAACGCAGTTAGTTCTATACCTTTTATTCCGCTAACGCCATTTTCACGTCAGTATCTTTCACCAGAAGAAGCTTTTAAAAGGTTTTTGATACATAAACTACAATGGGATTTTCGTGCCTGTGGTACCAGAGAATCTTTGTTAAGCTAAGGTAAGGAATAGAAAGTCTTTATCTTCTTTACGTCTTTCCTCGGGATGTATATGATTGAAAGGTCAAAGTGAGAAAGCTCTCCATCAAAATACCAGCCATTCGTCATAGTCGCTCAAATGTGAACTATACAGAACATCACAGTGTAAAAGAGAACGCTCAGTGCTCTCTAACGGACTGTTGCTACTATGTGTTATTCAAATAATGCAACTGTTGCGCAATAAACTTGACTGGACTTGAGTAACAAAGTCAAAGAGCTTTTCCGTTGAAATATCAGTCGTCTTACATAAATGGAGCCTGATGAATGTTTCATAGTATCGAACTATACCAAATATCATAGTGTAATACATCGTTTATCGCATCCAAGAAACTATAGTTGTGCACTTACAATAAAGAATGGTACTCTTATATATGTAAGAAAGTTACGTAGAGTACAACTTGGATTTTGTCATTGGTTTCCGTTGCTAAGACAGATTGATATGACAGAAAACTAGTATACATACAAGAGTTACATGTCTACTCTTCGCTTCACATTTACTAAGTTAACTGCCAAGACAGAAAGCTGGGCTGGGCATTACGAGTGAAAGCTTTCTAGTCTATGACCTTTTGGTCCTACCACGCACTTAGACGCCAACAGCTCAAAAAGTTGGTCTAGTGAAAGATAATAATGTCCCAAACCCACTGAGAGCCACTTGTAAGTTGTAAATGAGAAATCAAGTTTTTGGTTTACAGGATACATTTTTGCACTATTATCACCCACAGCTCACAGAGACGACAAAAAAGCCCGTTCCACTCCATGTGAAGCATAATGCCCGCATGGCTCTCTATATTTCTATAGTCCCTTGGCCATGCAGCACTATAGCAGGGGGGTAGTCAGTTGGTAGTGCTGTGTGTTAGACCTTCCCATACTCTTTCTCATAGATAGATGCTGAGTGCTAAGCAGAAAAAGCAGTACGTGTGCCACTCTAGTGATCGGGATATTCGGTTATGTGTGACAGGATCTGTTTGAAACATTCGGGCGTAGACGCAAGGGTCGGGCATGGTTGGCTGGTGGTTCGCTGATGTTCGTGAGTAGGTCGGGGCGTTGTTGGCAGTCATATTTAATTCTAATTCCGATTCGATTCGATTCTAACCGAAATCTGGTCAAACCGCTTCCGAGCTTCAGCCAACCCCGGTCGGTTGGTGTTCGAGGGAAGGCCTTGAACGTGAAAAAGACTTCCGCGCGATAGTTGTTGACGACCACCATTTCAGCACCAAGGACATCATCCACCCGGGACACGCCATGTCACTTCGCCGCAGCCGTGCGCTCTCCCGGGGCTAGGGCGATGCGAAGACGCCCTGTCAAGCTCCCAGAGGATTACGTGGACACGGCGGTATCATCTATAAGCCTCCCTGATTTTCTATACGGGAAGGAAGAGGCGGTAATATCTTGCTGCACTGTCTGTCTGGCCTCCGGCAAACGTCGGTATGAACGCAGGCACTAGTACGGGGATTACTTTTGATGAATCGTAGCAAAAAGGCACATCGATATGAAACACGTCCGTTATCAACCATTCCAAGGCCAAGCCAACATCGCCGCTTTCTGTATGCAAAGATTGTAACTGAAAAAAATAGTGCTTATCATGTAACCTATAGGTACCATCCTATTTCTATACCGGGGCTCTTGTACTTTAAGGAGTGAATATGAGAACCGGCCATAGTATACAAAAAGGATGGCTCACAGGCTACTTATAATGTAATGAACATGTATAAAATTAGTCTCGGGTAATGTTCTAACATCCTACCCCTGTATAACCTCACTGACAGCCACCCTGTTTTAGAGCCGATAGCTTTTTGTTGCTTCTTGTGGCGCTTTTCAAGTCGCGTCTAAATGATTATAATGTCTCTCAATAGCCGCAAAGTTAACACTAAAAGAAGCCTGGCGTGTCACCGCTTCAGTGAAAAGGGGCATTGAAAAAAAACCTTGGATACAGCTTCATGGTCCCACGAGCCTTAAGCGGCGCCCATGTCATGACTACATGAAAAATGAAAATAAAAGTAAACGTCTTTATTGAAGGAGACTTCCCAGGGCGATACACTTGGCGCCACGTCAACACACGTCAAACATTTCCTTCCCCGCCCTTCAGATACACAGCGCAGTGTATCGATATGACTGATGTTAGAATACACGAAGTTCCATCAAATGTGCGTTCTATGCAAGATAAGAAACATCGACGCTTTGTTGATTTCGTGGTCGAAAATAACGCTCTGATGTATGTTGAAATGACGTTCGATCGAAAGTGTTTTCTAGAAATGCAAGATATAAGGACAGAGGAGCTATTTTCTATGTTTTGTTGATTTCGTTAGAAAAGAACGATTTGTTGAAATGTTCTTCTGTGTGGGTTCTAACTAGTTTGAAATGGCTTCAATCTTGTCAGTTGTTGTCAGGGAACCCCATTTCAGGCTCGGAGCTATGAGAGCTTGGACGCCCTGTCGATCTCGAAGAAGCCCGTACCCTGGAATCCAGAACCGCAAAAGCCCTTCGCCCGCTGGTGTAAATTACCGCTACGGGGGAGTCTAGCCCGGGGGGAGTTTGACTGAAAGGGCCAGCCAAACTCCCCTCGGGCTCAAGTCCCCCGTAGCGGTAAGTTAGGCAGGCGGGCGAAGGGCTCTCGGCTGCCGAAGGAAAACGGCTAACGGCCCGATACTAGTTTGGCATCCAGGGTAAGAAGCCCGCGTGGTCAGCTCACAGGGAAGTGTCTAAGCTATATCACCGGCCAGCGATATGATATTGACCGTTTCAAATGGCAACGACCGTTTACTAGAAGGGAAACGTACTCCTGCGAACCCCTGCACGGACAAGAACACGGCAGGATACCATAGCTTACTACTAGTTAAAAGATTGGTTTTGATAGGTCTACTAGGTACGACACCCTAGTAGCGCTATCATCGTACCTGGTAGATCGATCGGCTGCTCTGCTAGGCACGACGCCCAAAACTGTAGTAAAAGGCGTAGATAACGGGGTATATTAATATTAAACACGTCCTTCATCAATCATTGCAAGTAAGGCCAAGGCAACATCGGCGTTTTTTTGTATGCAAAGGCTGCAACATACATGTATATATAACGTGATTTTACAATGCAGGTGACTGAAAAAAACTTGTGTGCTTATAATGATTGAATATGCGTTAAACTATCAAAATCGGCAACAAGGCAAACGTTAGCGATGATAGGTTTTTAAAATGGTTTATCAATTATATCATTGTATATAAAGAGTAAATCTGTACATCTAACGGGTATGACACCGTGCAGGAATGTTTAAACAAGTTAATTTGCAGTTGTCGTATATCATAAATCATCCAATATTCGAATTCTAAGTACTAAGATTTTTAGTAATATTGTTCATTTCTTCATCATTTAGTTTGTGAAAAGAATATCCTAAGTATGAAATTGATATTGACCGTGCGTATGTTGAACTTGAATTCTTGGTGGATTTGATGTTTGTTCAGTAGTTCCCTGATGCCCGGAAACGACAACTTTGATTTATGATGCTAACAACTCTCAAGACGTCGACGTCCGGGAATGTCCGCAGAGAAATCCAGCTTTGCGATAACATCTTGGGGATAACAACTTCCACATTCATCATCATCGATCATCTCCCACATACCGGGCTTACTGCCGTGAATTGGACGAATGGCGAAACCATATGCATCTTTTGTTTTTGTTTGAAAGAAGTTTCTGTATCTGTGTCTGTATCTGTATAACAGCCCTTCGGCGTAACACACTAGCTTCGCAGGCACGCGGCGCGGCGGCAGCTAGCTACATTACAGTGAACAACTTGTTACACTTAACCTTTGAACATCTAACTCTAAACATTGTTTCAAGCTATCTAATGACAATGCCCCTGCCGTACTTAGTGACAGAGAGTTCCACTCTGCGATAGTTCTAGGAAAAAATGAGGTTTGAAAAACTTCAATCCTTGCTTGATAACTCTGGCACTTGAAGGCATGACTATTTCTTGTTCTTTTCTCAGCTGGTATTAGGTACTTAGTCTTTGGTTTTGTCGTATGACACTTGACTCAGAAAGGTTGTACCAAGTAGACAATTAGTCTGTTTGCATGAGTATTTTGCTTTTGATTTTACCAGTGCCTGGAGTGCACTTAGCTATATATAGCGTCTTCAGTGGTCACCGCCCAATCTAAGATCCGCAAAAGTCTTTAAAGATACATTGGCAATTTGAAAATATCATTCGCTCAAGTCTTAGACTCCTTGGCTCGCTTTAAGTACAAGCCAATGATAACTTTGTCTTTGTGCTCGCTGAAGCGTAGCGAAGATGTTTGTATCTATTTGTATCATATTCATATTAACCCACGAAGACGGGAAGGGGTGTTCTTGCCTGGAAAAAATATTTTGGACATTGAATGACCTACGCTAAAACAAACGAACAAACGAACAAACGAACAAACGAACAAACGAACAAACGAACAAACGAACAAACGAACAAACGAACAAACGAACAAACAAACAAACGAACAAACAAACCACCTTGTATAAGGTATTTAAGGTATGCTCATATCAACAGATACAGAGAGAGGTAGAGGGAGAGATAGAGAGAGAGAGAGAGAGAGAGAGAGAGAGAGAGAGAGAGAGAGAAATAAACGAAAAACCTTCACGGAGGCACTGCTGTGATAAAACATGACCAACTTCAGTCCTTGACTTTATTGCTACACTATCACTCACTGACGGTAATGTTACAATGTTATATGGAGCCTGAAAGGAGTGCATCCTTGGGTCAAGCTTAAAGAGGGATTTTCAGTGCCCTACAGGTTACCTCACCGAAGAGTGTCTACTTGGTGCTTAACCGTGCCTCTACATAGTCCCATATGAACAGAATGGCTGTCTCCAGTTGGAGAGTTTGACTGAGCCCTGGTAGTTTACACGAGCTGAATTTATAGGCTGACTTTAGAGTGCAATCTCCCTCTTTAAGCTTGTCACTATGAAACTAATGGATGGATTTATTGCAGCTTCGTTGAAAGGTAAAATATCTCACTGGATCCTTTTTCATGGCAGGAAAAATGTATCCAAGGCTACCGTGAGACCAAACCTCAAATCCGCAGTATACTTTATGTGCCATTAGCGTTAGTGTCGTTGATGGGATGCGGCGCCGTATATATAGGTTCAGATATGGATGAGGGTCTGCATGGGGGGTTAAGACAACACTCTACGCTACATTTTGAGAGCCGGCTACGTATTACACTGAATTCAGCAAGGACGTTCAATCATAATGATGATGATGATTGATGATTGAATCATAATGATGATTGAACGTCCTTGAATTCAGCAAGCCTCCCATTACGCTTCACGATTAATTCTGGGTAGCTACTATGCATTAGGCCATGTTGATTGGATTATATGGATGAATCTTCGTCCGTTTCAAAAAAAAAAAGTGTTCGACCATACTGTAAATCGTACAAATTCATATGAGCGAATTTATGTCGTATATTGCAAAAAAAAGTATTGGAAAACGATACGAATGTCATGGTATGCAGGAAAAGACGAAAATGTGAAGAAATGAAATATGAAGAGTCCAGTATTATTCCCCATACCATACTCATGTGTGTTAAGTCATTTGTTCAACCTTTATGACCACGTAAGTAGATTTCATACTGAAGGAAACTTTTTTTTTAAACTTTTTTTTTATTCGCACGCTCGCGTTCCCCGGGGATGTCATCCATGTAATCAAATCAACAAGGCTTTACGTAGAATCAAAACGGCGAAATACACTCTACACAAAATGCGCCAATTACGCTCTACGTAGAATTAGAGCGGTCCCGTCTACGCTCTACGGAAAAGGGCGCATGCGGACCCCCATGGATTGCTGGCTGGCTGGCTTGCCAACCTGTCTTTATAACACATTCCAAGAATAGCCCAAGGATAGATGTTTAATCGAGCACTTGATGTACATGTATAGCCTGTGCCTGTAGCAATTCGTTCATTTTCATCTTTTTATGTCAGAAAATAAAGAAACAGTGTCCATCTATTACATTAATAGAGAGTTTTGCGATATCTCACGCCATGATAATCCTACGACCAGTAAACCGAGTCATACTTCTTTTCCGTTTGTGACTTTGTCCTTAGCCTGGGTAACGCTACCATCCTATATATGCCGGGGCTCCCATCCCCCCTCCCTAAGAAGTGTGGGAGCTACAAATACATGTAGGATGGCACCCAGGCTACTTTCATGTCATTACACCTCCAAAAGCTGTTTAATAGAAACCCTCCATTATTCGCTGTTCAAGACAAAATGATGCATTTATTTACACAATTTACTTTCGACGAGTTGTCATCATGCATTATTCTAAAGCATACAATATTAGTGATTCTCAGTTAGGAATAAGTAATTTGCGCATTTTAGATTGTTAAGAAATTGTTTGTTAATTGTTTTGAGTCCTGTCTTGAGGTTTAGGTCGGGTGGCTTTCAGAAACCTAGTGTAGTGAAAGAGCCGATATTCAATAAGAAAACAGCACATAATATGTCAAAAGAACTCCAGCCAAGTCTAGCCTGGGTGCCAAACCCATAGCACACTGGACACAAGTATCTCACTCTCAGTGAGCCAAGTCTAGCGGAGCCGTGTAACGTTACTACGGTATAACGTTACAAAGTTTCCTTGGGGGTAGGTTAACCCTCAGAGCTGACGACCGCAACGATCTGGGCTTCCAGGACATTCTGAAGAACACACCAGGCGTTTGTTTGACCGTCGATGATAGGGAGAAGAAATAACATCTAGAACTCGCTTTGTGTTGAAATCGTCTGTAACGGACCAGGTATGGGCCCTAACTAGACCAAAGCCGTGAGGTCAGTTGAGGTCACTGTGAGACTTCTTTGCGCCGGGCCACGCCCCTCAGTGACCCTTCCCAAAACCAGACTGCTTCACTACACTTTAATTAATTGGAAAACGATTGTTTGTTTATAAATCCGTCCGTTGTTTGTTTTTGAGGGCTACGCCTCGGCGCGCACGTGTACCGTATTGATCCGCCCATGCGCACTCGGGCTCTTCGCGACTTGTTGCCAAACTTCCAACATGGCAGTCCCGGGCCGGCGGTTTGGGGGAGGGCGACGCGGAAGCAAATCGTGAATTCTTCGCCGGTCTTAAGGATTTTCTTAAGGATTCTTCGACACCAGGACGCGTTGGGAAGGTCTTCAGTGACAGCCTGAGCTACTTGACACGACAAAAGTTACATACAATTTTGAGCTACTAGTAACTCGTAGCGAATACGTGTCTACTGCCCGCTATGGCCCTTAATTAATTCCACAACTTGAAGACGAAGCGGCCAACTTTTTTCCCGACGTCTTGTCGAGATCAAGGAGAATAGCAATCATCTTGAAGGAAGAATGGAGGGTAACTGTAGCTTCGTGACGCCGTGGCTTGTCCAGGCGTTCGGTGGATGTGTGTTTTACCGGCAACAAGCGAGCGGCTACGCCTTGGGAGTGTGTTCTATCTGTGTGTGGTTTGTCGTCCATATCATGTAAGTCGCCCCCCTCCCCACTATATCTTCTTCCATAAACTATACCAAAGTTTGATAAATATATTGCACAACAATTGCACAAGGTACAACGTATTGCATATTCTTCTATAGAAGTCTTCTATACAGAAACAATACTGCTAATCTACAAAAGACTACTAGTATGTAGTATGGGATGAGAATTTTCTTAGCGTTTAGGCATTTTTTCAAGGCTAATTTGAAGTGTAATATAATCTTGCACGGGCTATTTTACCAATGTCTACACTAATTTTTAACGTTTAGTAATCATATTTGTAGTTCATAACATATCACCACCATTATCTAGGTGTTAGAGGGGATCAGTTTCACTTTCTTGTAATGTTGTTGTTGTTGTCCTTTTTTTCAGCCATGTTTGTTTACATTTTAACCCATATCATCACAGTCGACCTCTGTATTGTTTACATGCAGTAGTACATGTTAAGGTACTCGGTGGGCGTGTCATATTACATGTAGAATTACTTTTCCATTGTAAGGAACAGGTGATCACTTTCACTGTTTTGCAACACCTGCAATATTTGTGCATGCACCTGCCTTTTGTAATTTCTTCATTCTTTAATATATGTAACGTTACCTGAAAAATAAGTTCACATTTTTCCCTTACATGCATTTTATATTTTATTTTATGCAGGGTAATTTATTGTAAACCTTTAGTCATGTAATTTTCTGGTTCATAGCTTTTAACATTAATATACATGTTCCAGAAAAGAATTGATAGAAATATTACACTAGCATTCCAGACTATGTATCATACTGTACCTAAACTGTTCCTCTACGTACATATATAAATATACATATATTGATGGCTTTCCTTTTCAGATTATTTGATAAAATTTCTTATTGGGACTTGTTTTGTTTGTTGAAAATTATCCTAGTAGGATCTGAGGGAATTACTGTCAGATTAGTTATTGCTATATTGTTATAACACATGTCTGTCTCAGGTTTGTGGGAGGAAAAATCCCACTACTACTGAAAAGTTGTTCCCTTTATTCGTAGGCCTGGGGTGTAGTATGCATGCTCCCCACACTGATTGGTCTTGGTATTAATTCTGTTGGAGTAATATTCAAACACATGTATTTATATCAGGTCAGTCAGTCAGTTATATGGGTTCACTTATTTTTTTGTCTAAAAGCAAGAATATTTAATTCATGTTCTGATTTTCAAGTGCTTAATTGTAGAAATCTCATCTTTGAGATCTTGTGTAAAAAATGGTCTGTGAATATGAGCACGTTGGCAGAACGCACTGCGCCTGCGCAAAACCCTAATTTTTCCCGGTTTTCTTTGGATTTTTGGTCAACGTTTCATCAGAATTTTGCCTGTTGCAGACAATATTTTTTCTGACATAACAATTGGAAACTGCAGACTGAGTGTTAACATTATATGCGCTATTAAATACGACCTTATATGAGACATTCTGCTGAAGTGTACCCTGGAATTCAAACTCGCTGTCCGGGCCGCAAAAGCCCTTCGCCCGCTGGTGTAAATTACCGCTACGGGGGAGTCTAGCCCGGGGGGAGTTTGGCTGGCCGGACAACTCCCCTCGGGCTCAACTCCCCCGTAGCGGTAATTTAGGCAGGCGGGCGAAGGGCTCTCGGCTGCCGAAGGAAAATGGCTAACGGCTTGATACTACTAGTTTGGCATCCAGGGTAGCTGAAGTGCTATGCACAATACATTACGGGTTTTGCGCAGATGCAGTACGTTCTGTCGACGTGCTGTGAATATGCATCTTGTCAGTGTGTTGGAGTGTGTGTAGGAATTTAGGTGTTATCAGGGGGTCAGGTGTCTAAGTGAATTGCACACCTGTTGGCTCTCACCCAAGCGTCTGATTGGTTGACTAGCCATGCAGTGTAAATGTGGCAGCGGTACCTGTGTGATAACCTGTAACCAAATGTCCCTGGGGGGTCAGGTACAGAACCATTAGTCAGAAGGCCAACAAGTATGCTTTATAACTGTACAAGCCAAACATTGATTGCCATTTAGACATGAACACAACTTAGACGTTAGGAAATTCTGAAAGATTGAGAGCTGTGAAATTCCGGTAAGGTCCTACTCCCCCTCCCCCCTACATACACACGTTCCAACTATGAAATGATGTTAAAAATGTACCAAGAAATTGCTGTAAATGTTAATATAAGACAGATTAATTTATCCAGAATATTTTTTGGGGACGCTCTAAAACTGCAGCTGCCATGTGTCACCGTTGCAAGATTCTGTACTTGTCTATTAGTCTAGTACTAGTAGTAGTGTTATTTCATAACAGAGTACAGTGTAAATGACTGCTATCCCTGGTATAATACTTCTCACAATATTTTGTAAGCTGTTTCATACACCACATCTCTTTTGAACAAGGATGTTAGGGTAAATAAATCAATAAGGCCTGTGTGTGACGTACAAAACACTGCACAGATGACTATAGAAAACAGGACCTTGTGACACACAAGTTGTGTATTGGGGTTTTGGATAGGGATCCGTATGTACAAGTAGAAGTTTCCTAAAATACATGTATAAGTTGGTACTTAAGTACTTAAAAAATCTCAGACTCGTTCCTTTAAGTTTGAGCAGTTTTTTTAGTAAAGAAATTATGTACGTAGTCAAGCTGGTTGCTCTATACACAGTAGAACTAGAGAGTCAATGCAGTTTTTGCAACAGCTTGCCATACAAATGGCAGCACATCTGTACTAGTACATGTGCTATATGTATAAGTAGTCTTTGTATTGTGGCTTTAATGTTAATCCTGTTGCCATAATCTTGGATAAGACCCTCTATTGTCATGATGTAGGAGATTAATCGCTTTTATTATTTTCCTTCTTTCTAAAATTTAAAACTTAATGTCTTCTTCCTCTTTTATTTTGTACAATGATGATGTACATGATAATTTTTGTGTAAGAATTCGGCCAGTTTCATAGTTTATAGTTCTGTATCGAGAAAGCCACTCCAACAATGCCATCTATTTGGGCTGTTGTTACACTGCTGCTAATACATTGTATAGGGCTGTTACTATAGTACACTGCCGTACAGTAGTGTCATGTTCATGTTCAACTGTAATTCTAATGTTTGTGAACAGGATACTGAAAGTGAAGTGGATATTCCAACAATGCTGTGTTCTGCCTGCTGTCCTATACACTGCTGTTGCACTGCATGCTATAATGCTGTACAGTTCTATTGTCTTCTTGTTTGGCTGTTTTTTTGCTGCCTTCTGGCTGCTGTTACACTGCTGTAACAGTTCTATTCTGTTCATGTTTGACTATTCCTTAATTGTGTACAGGATACTGAAAGTGAAGTGGAGAGAGAGCCACTCCAACAACGCTGCCTTCTGGCTGCTGTTACACTGCTGTACTGCTGACCTGTGTAACCTGGTGGGCTCTGTCATGGCTGTACAGATGGGGGCACAGGTAAGACAATACTTTATGCATCTACATGTACCTTCAGTTCAGTTTAGTTCAGTTCAGTTCAAGTCGTCATCATACAAGGTGTTGTCCTTGCTTGTACGAGGTACCCCCCAGCAGTGTTATACCCTTGGTGAGAAGACTATGAAAACAGAAAATCATAAGTATATGACCACACCAGTTTTTGTGCCATTATGCAGTTTTTCCTGTACATGCACTAACCTGGTTATGTGTCCACAGATCCTGGTAGGCCTGTACCTGTGCTGTATGCAGGCTGCCTTCATCGCTCAGTTTGCAGTCATGAGATGTGGGTGGAGAAACAGGCTATCTGCAATGTCAGACCAGTGTGGTAAGATCAGTGGCACTTTTTAGATTTCCTGCCCTCCCATATTCAGCAAAATAATCTATTGTTGCTTAGTCATGCTTGTTGACCTTTGCTCTGTACCAATATTAAAGTGGTTTGAAGAAGTTTCACATGCTTTTTTTGTGGCAAACATTCATCAAGTTCAATAATATCTTTCTTGTCAGTGCACTCTTATTCCCTCCTCCCTTTCCTTGAAGTTTCTTCCTAAGCTTTCTACCCTCCTTCCTTCCTTCCTTCCAACAATGTTTACAGCAACTTTTCCTCCCATATCACCAGAGAATTGCTGGAACCGGTCGCAGAAAGGCAGACAGGACAAGTTCAACAGAAAGTTTTTCCTACGTATCTTCTTCTTTTCTCATCTTTCTTTTCTTCTTTCTTTTTCTTCAACACAATAAGTGCGTGCAGTAGGCCAGTACAAGTGCACTTTTACAAGTACCTTTTTCCTCCCATATAACCAGAGGACTGTTGGTACCGGTTGCGGAAGGGCCGTCAGGATGAGATGAACATGTTGTGTGTTCTCCCGTTCTGGGCCCTGTCAGCTGGCTTCCTGTGTCTGGACACAGCAGCCTGGACACCGGTCATACAGCCGGTCCTCCACCGCAACCCTACAGGCAGGAGCCTTCTCACACACTCCAACAACATGTTTGAGGTGAGCAAACAAATACAGGATAACAAAAGAATCAGTGTAGCAATTAATTAGTGTTAATTAAAAATAGACTAAGCAAAGGATTTGTGCTCGAAGTTTTTGTTAGGTAAAATTGGAGCTGGAATTTGTATTTCTGAAGTCTACCTGCACCTACATGTAAACTGCAGCAGGTCTATGAATGTATTTGAGAGAAAGGGAAAGAAAGGGAACGACAGATGGAGATGGAGAAGATGAAGTGGGAAGCAGAGGAAAGAGAGAAAGAGAAAGAAAGGGAACGACAGATGGAGATGGAGAAGATGAAGTGGGAAGCAGAAGAAAGAGAGAAAGAAAGGCAGGAGAAGGAGGCGGAACGGCGACACCAGCTGGAGATGAGGCGGTACGGGCCAGAGAGAGGCGCATTAGAGGAAATGGAAAGTGCTCGGGCGAAAGCTCCCAAGCTCCCGGCGTTTGTCGACGGGAAGGACGAAGTAGATGCCTTCCTTCAGAGGTTTGAAAGATTTGCCAGCTCCAATGGCTGGAGGGAGGAGGTCTGGGCCTCCAACTTAAGCGCGCTGTTAACTGGGAAGGCGCTGGAAGTATATTCTAGGCTCAGTAACGAAGACGCCCAGGACTACGACAAAGTGAAGGTGGCATTGTTGAAACGTTACAATCTAACTGAGGATGGCTTCCGCAACAAGTTCCGACAGAACAAGCCGGACAAAGGGGAAAGTCCAGAGCAGTTCCTGGTACGCCTGACCAGTTACCTTGACCGATGGGTGGAGTTATCCAAGACGACGAAGGATTACGAGTCGCTTCGTGATCTGTTTGTGAAAGAGCAGTTTATGGATGCCTGCCCGCCAGACCTGGCAATACACCTCAGGGAGCGAAATCCAGATAGCCTGGTGGAGCTGGCAGAGATGGCTCAACATTATCTGACCGCCCACAAGAGAGAGCTCAGCAAGAAGGAAGAAGAAAAGGAGAAGAAGGCAACTCAAAGCCGCAACCGCACACAACCTTGGACGGCGCGCGGGGGTAGCACTAGTTCCTGTTACACATGCGGTGACCCTGGCCACTTTGCAAGGGACTGCCCTGTATCTAAGGAGACGCGACCCACCGAGGCTAACTCCTTCTTCACCAGTACAGGAGAGAAGGCCGGGCAACAGGCAACCTTCATCGTCGCAGGCCAAGTGGAGGGAAAGAAGGTCCCGTTGCTGTTGGACACTGGCAGTACACAGACGCTGATCAGAGAGGACCTGGTGGATCCGACAAAAATCGCACATGACAATCAAGGCGGCATTACTTGCATTCATGGCGATGAAAGGAAGTACCCGACTGCACAAGTAGAGGTCCAGATAGGACACAGAAGCTACAAGATAAATGCGAAAGTGACCCCAAACCTCCCACACCCCGCTATACTCGGACGGGATGTTCCCCATCTTGCCGAACTGGTACAGCAGTGCGCATCTGGAAGGCTGGCACGGGAGTCGCTCGTGGCTACGAGGGCTCAAACACGCAAGGCAGCTCAGGGGTTTATCGGCTTACAGAAAGCAATGCAGCAATCTGGAGTTCAACCGCGGCAATTCTTGTCAACATTCGGTCGTTATAGTAATGGTTATGGTCGTGGCGGCACCAAGTCGTACAACTTTGCCGGCTATAGACCAAAACTGCGCCTGGCTGCTCGTACCAAACCCTTTGGGAGCCCTCATCTCCCAGCACCAGGGAAGTCCCAGAGGCGCATCTTTGGTGGCGCCAAACCGGTGGACACGGCAGCGAGGGAGCGCGTGATTGAGGAGAAGCTGTCACTACAGAAGGTCGGGGGATGGAGGCAGTCCGGGAAAGGGCAGTGCCAATGCCGATGCACTGTCTTGAGCTGGAGACAATAGAACTCTACTACCATTACTAGTAGTGTTACGTTACGTCACGCCTGGTTATAGGGTGCTTAAAACTTTTCCCGTATGTAGAGCTCTAGAGCACAAACATAGGAGTTGTTGTTGTTACTAATGGTTCAGTAGTTGGAACACTTTGTAGTCAAGTTATTTTGTTCCTGTGAACATTATTAAGAGTTAGCGATGTCTCCTCCGGAAAGGACTGATGACTACGGAGACTCTAGTGAAGTGAGATATATTTGAGATACATGCCCAAGTAGTATCCGTTTCCTTTTTTTTATAGCTTTGTATAATGCATGTAAACCACAGGACCAGTATTACGACAATGTAAATTATGACTAATGAGAACCTAGAGTTTAGAATGGTGATTGAAAGGAGTTTTTCAATCAGAAGAAACGGGAGCGAATGTGATGGGATCCAATCGTTTGTACCAGTTTGGCCCAAGAATGTGAAGGCGAGGTGAGTCTAGAGTGGATTCTAGAGAGGGAGGTCCTGGTGGTGGCTGTCTTAGGATAGGAAGTTGATTAAACAGTTAAAGTTCGGACTCTGTGACTCGGCTCATCATCTGACATTCATAGAATATGACAGTTGCATGTGAAGTTTTGTTTGCTTTGTATTTATTTCAGAATCTGATGTTTACCCAGCCTGTACCAGTCTATGCATGTACTGAGTACATAGAATATGATAGGTGCATGTGAATTTTTGTTTTGCAGTGCCAACTGAAAACAGCTGTAAAAAGAATCAATAATGTAAGACCCCATTGCTCTTGACACAACACCTCATGTCCCAGAAACATAAATTACCAGTCTCGTGTTGAATATTACACAAAGAAATTTTGATTGAGTGTGCGTAATTCTGTTCTCTAACTGTTGTATTGTTGAATTTACAGAATAGTCACATGAGTACTGGCTACTCCCTGGGCATGGTGTCAGCAGTGTTGAACTGGACAGGGAGGTTACCACAGATACTACAAGTTGTAAGTACAATGTAACGCCTTAAGCTTCATTACATGTACCTCCAAGTGGTGTTGAATGGTTAGGCTAGCAGGCACGAGATCGTGAGGTAGTGGGTTAGATTCCTGGCATTCCAGGCTGGACGTTGTGTCCATGGGAAAGGCACTTTACGCAACTTTCCTCACTCCACTCACATGTAAAGTTGTTACTTGATTTTGGTAGGGGAGGTAAAAGACAGTGGAAGGAGAAAGATGGGCTCTGCTACCATGCTCTAGACACAGTGAATAAACAGCCCACAGCCTTAAAAAGGCTATCAGAATACCTTTACCTACAAATGTACATTAACATGTACCTCAAGTATTCGTAACTGTACATTGCAAACTATATATTGCAATGTGCCCATTACATAGAATGAATGGTAACCCGTGTACCTTCACATCCTTATACTTGTCCGAATTTTATCACCAGAGGTAATATTCTCATCCATATATACATGTATTAGAGTGGATTCATTCCTCAAGCTATTGTTACCAACATCTCGCACACACAGTCGTCCTTCAATAAGGCATGTGGAGCCGCATAGTTTCCATTTAGAACATTTATTCAGCCTTTCACACTGAGGCAGTGTTCTCAGGTTGCCTTCAAGCCCTTTGACATTTCAAGTTTCGCTCACCTAAACCCTTGACATCGGTTATTAGCCTTATATATTGCCAGTGGCAAAATGCCAACACCAAATGTAACTGCTCGGTAAGCTCTTCTGTAAATGTCATGACCTGGACTCTAGACGTTAGATAAGAAAAGATGGTTTGACTGAAATGTCAGCACAGTTCACAACAACTTGATTTGTTGTGAACCGGAAGAAAAAAAAAACTTGCCTAGTGCAGGTGAAATTGGAGACTATGTTTCTTCTAAGATCACAAAACCCTCTCATTATGCAGAACGTGGGTCAATTCATTATCCACTGCCTCCAAAGAAGAAGTCAAACCCCATAGTAGCAAAATAGTAGTACAATTATAGTTAGTAGTATATATTTAAAGTTGATCATATACAGGGCTGTGTACCGGTATGCAGTACCAATACTGTACTGAAAAAAGTTGATTAGGTACAGCTTTAATCAGATAGCAATTTTACCTTACTTTATTTGACACTGTACAAGCAATTAGCCTTTGGGTATGATATTGCAAATAGAAGATTTTTTCTCTGTGTATGTTACAGTACAAGGGTAAGCCACCTCCCCGACTGTACCTTCCTATCTCCACCCTGAGTGTGACGGCCAACTTCCTGTATGCACTGGGCATCATCACACATGGAGCGGAGGGGGACTTCATGTTATACCACTTACCATGGCTGCTGGGCAGGTCTGTGTTTCCCTTTTTTTTGGCGATGTCTCAGGGAGGAGCCTAATGGTACAGTTTTGTGTGCAATTTGCAAGAATTCTAGGAATCGTACAGTAATTTTGTCCACAGGCATGGAATGTCCACAGATTGTCTCCTAGCTCTGTTTGTTGACATGCCCACATTCCTGGAAACCCTTGGGAGAACCTGTCTGCCCCCCCCCCCCACTCTCTCCCCCTCAGACAGCCACTCACTGCCCAAAGACAATAACTCAAACATACTCAATAAGCACAGAATCAGTGCAAAGGTTTGGCCAATCCACATGTTTTCTTTATTTATCAATAATAAGATGATACAATGTTATAAAGCTTTATACTTAAGCTTTAAGCAGGCTTTTAAAAGAGGCAAGTCCAAGTTCAAGTTAAAAAGCCATAATGAATTTGAACATCCCGGAATTTGACAGATTTCTCAAGAGTAGTGGGCACTCAATGATCTCCAAGGTCTTTGGAGGATCCCTCATTGATTTCCCTATAGTCTTTCAATAATATCCAATGTCCTCCAATAATATCTCAACAAAAAAAGATTTTGAATGGTTGCTGAATGATCTCAGTCCTGTGGAAAAGTGGCCTTTATGATATAAAGAACATCAAGTGAGACTACATTGCTATTAAATGCTCCATATACATGTGTAGACCAATTAAACTTTTTTGACAATGTCATACAATGATTTTGCTGTTGATCTTAAACAATTTGTGTGCTTTTGTGTGTTCTATGAAATTTCTAAAACTATATCTTTTTTCTTCCTTTTGCATGCAGCCTTGGGACAGCTGGAATTGATATTGGTGTATCCTTTTCACATATAACTCATAAGTACAATCTAATGATATTGATAAGGCCACACCAATTTGATTTGTTGTTTCTCTGGCATCTTTGTAAAATATTAAGATTTCAAAAAGACAATATCATGATTTGTTGTTTCTCTGGCATCTTTGTATAATATTAAGATTTCAAAAAGACAATATCATGAAAACACAGGGCTGGTTTTCTTGTTGATACTTCAATCTAAAATTGATTTTTGTATAAATCCAAGAACCCAAAAAATTAAATTGGTGTCTGGCCTAAGATATGCATACTACTAGTAGATTAGTAATACTATGAATCTTAAGATTGCCTAAACGTTCACAGTTTTGCTGTCATGTCTATATCTCTATGGCAAGAGCCCAGGGCACTTGCAAATCAAGTGCTGGCATTTCCATGGTGTTTTTTTGCCAGTATTTCAACCTTGAATTCAAAGATACACATGATATTGATTTTCAACTTTACAACATTTAGTTGACATGAACTTCAGATAAAGGTATACAGCATAAGTGGATCACAGAAAAAACTAGATGCTATATTAGTTGACCTTGATAAAATAAAGACATGTCTTGACATGTTGATAAGTATGTACCACTAAAATCTGAAGAACATCTAAAAACTGCGGCAAGGCCTTGCTTGATGCTTTTTATCATTTGGTGTTGGAAACAAATGCATCATCATAATATCCTTGATATACTACGTCTTATGGTTGTCATATATATATAGTAGTAAAAGGATCCATATGTTCAGTATAATAATTGCAAATTACTGCCATTTTCCAGTTGTGGTTAGATATATTTGGCAATATATTTCAGCACCAAGGACATGAACGAACCAGTAATTTTTACTAGTGTAACAGTGGGGGGTTTATAGGCGCTACCAACAGATCCGGCAAACGGGTCTAGACCTTTTAGTGGAGAGGTTAGAGTGTCTGACTGGGGCTCGGGAGGTTGTGCAGGGGTCGAAATAACCCTCTGTGTGCAACTTGGTGCAAGTAAATTTGGTGTCGTGCAACTAATTTTTTGCCTGCTTGCACCATGGTGCAAGTTTGCTTTATCCACTGTTACTACCTGTAGAATTACCCAATAATATTAATTAATAAAGAACTGGAGTGGAAAGGAACAAAACCAGAATCCATTTTTTCTTCATTTTTTGTAAGTAACAGAAGGTTACTATCTACGTCGCTGCCAGCGGATGTTTCCCATCACTTCTGTATTTTTGGAGGGTGCAACTATTTTTCTTCCGGTGCAAGTATTTTTCTTTTCATTTGCACCAGTGCAAGTTGGCCCCAAAATCTATTTCGACCCCTGTTGTGGGTTCAAACCCCGGCCCGGGACCAGTGGGTTTTTATCGGCTCCTCCTGTTTCTTACAGTGGTTCCCATGCCGGCCCTGGGAGTTCTGGCAAAGAGTGCCACTCCAGGAATGTCGAATTCGGAAGATTCGAGGACGAATCTTGAAAAGAAAAGGGGGAGTAGTGTAACAGTGGGGGGTTTATAGGCGCTACCAACAGATCCGGCAAACGGGTCTAGACCTTTTAGCGGAGCGGTTAGAGCGTCTGGTTATGAAGCTCTGGTGCCCGGGAGGTCGTGGGTTCGAACCCCGGCCCGGGACCAGTGGGGTTTTTACTGTCTCCTCCTGTTTCTTACACTAGACATTTTTCATTTGCAACTCCACTGACTCTCACTGACTACAATTCACAGTACAAAATATGTCAGTACTAAAAATATACTTTTACTGGCATTTGTTGGTTTATGCGCAGTGTGCTACATGTTGACTTTCACAGTGCCTCGCTACAATCTTAACCTTTAGCATGCTAAGTACATGTAGCTGTTTTACAAATGCATGCTCATGATAGTTAAACTCCATGGGATGGGGTTGTGTTGGTGTTGTAAGGATTTATCTCTTTTAGTTTTAGATGTACCAATAATTGCAGTTAAAATTACATCTTGGGTATGAAGCAGCTGTGTATGTGCAAGCAGTACTTTCTTTCAGTGTACTGATTTTATGTAAAAAAAACAACATTTTTTTGTGCTAAGTTTGAACCTTTGACACTGACAGGGCTGTTTTACCTTCATGATACTATTGAAGGTTAGCTGTTTTTCATAATTACATGTTGTCAGAACCACCATCTGGCTTCTCTGACTGGGTAGCACCTTCTTTTTTGCGTGTAGGAAGTGGGGGAGGCTCATCCTCTACTTTAGGAGAGACGTTTTTCTTGGCTGAACCAAGTGTCTTGTTTTTAGCAGGTTTTATTGAACCTGAGGTTGGGCCCTTTGGTGATGTATCCACATGTTTGTATAGTAAACTTGCCTGTGAGGCTGGTCGCCCTGTGTTATATGATGAATTCCTAGCATCCAAAGGCTGAGTCGCTTTTTTAGATGGACTAGGGGTCTTCTTTTTAGCAGATTGCCTTGAGCCTGTAGCTTTATACAGATTAGGCTCTGAAAGACTTGGGAGGGCCCCAATACCTTTGGGATGAAGTGGGGGAGGCTCATCTTCAGAGGGTTTGTTTTGATTGGCCTTGTTCTTAGTAGGCTGGGCATATACAGGTAAACCTGCACCTTCAGGATTAGGGTTCTGTTGTGGTGTGTCTACATCTTTAGACAGGTGAGGCTGCGAGATACCAGGTAGGGCTTCAGTGTGGGGTAGGGGAAGTGGGGGAAGCGTACGTTTAGCCAAAGTCTGTATGGTAGATAGATTCTTCTTACCAGTGTGGGGTAGGGGAAGTGGGGGAAGCGTACGTTTAGCCAAAGTATGTATGGTAGATTTATTCTTTTTACCAGGTTTCCCTGGACCCAGACCTAGACTTCCTGCACTTTCATACATAGGGTTGGATCGTAAGGCGGATAGCTGACTGTTTATTGAAGGATTTTGGACATCCAAGCCAACTGGGTCTGGTGCAGGCTTCTTGGCCCTTCTCTTGAACCAGATCGTGAGAATGATAGAACCTATCAGGAAAGTGCCAGCTACCAAACCACTGATAGAGGCAATGACAACAGTTAAGGGAAAACTAATAGCAGCTGAGTGGGAAGTGCTGCTTTCTGGTTTGTTTGTCCCAACAGGCAGTGTGGCTCCTACAGGGCATAGTGTAGGGTCAGCATTGCATTTGAAGTACCAGTGAACTCGAGAGGTGGACCTGGTATCAATGGGGCCATGATTGTAAGAGACAGCAGAGGAAGGAGTGGGTAACCTGGATAAAGTCATGAATTGGACTTTGGTATTAGCAGGCTTTGTGGCAAGTGTGGAGGCCAAAGGATATAATTTTGTTGTAGTCTCTTTACAGGTCAGATTTTCAGGATTTACATCTTTAAGCTTTTCTCCCTTGAGATTGTCAGGTTTTGCACATTTTATCTGGTTTCCAAATAAAAAAGACCCAGTTATCTTCTGCCTGATTGGAACCATCCTACAGTCACATTTCCAGGGGTTCTTGCCAATTTTCACAGAATTGTGCCTGGGTAGATTTGAGAATGTATCAGGATGAATATAAGTTATCTTGTTGTTTTCCAGATTCAGTGTTTGGAGCTTTGGTAGATTTGAGAATGTACCAGGCTTTATGCCAGTTAGTAGGTTGTGGTGAAGGGACAAGATGATGAGCTGGGAAAGATTTGTAAATGCACCACTATCAATGAAAGCTAATTGGTTGAAGGACAGGTGCAAGTACTGGAGCTGGGATAGAGTTGAGAATGAGCCATCATTAATGACAGTTAGTTGGTTGTAGGACAGATACAAGTTTGTGAGTGTGGGTAAATTTGAGATTGTACCAGTGTTAACACCAGGTAAATGATTGTAGTTCAGACGCAAGGCCTTTAGCTTGGGTAGATTTAAGAATGCACCATTATTAATGATCCTTAATTTGTTCTTGCACAGGAACAAGAACGTGAGCTTGGGTAGATCTGAGAATGCACCATTATCAAGGCCAGTTAATTGGTTAGAGGACAGGTCCAATTCATAGAGCTCTGCTAGATTGGAAAATGTCTCATGCTGAATCTTAGTAAACTCGTTTTTGCCCAGTTTCAATATGTGGAGCATTTGTAGATTTGAGAATGTACCAGGGGTTATGCCAGTTAATTGGTTGGAGGATAGGTCCAAGTGCTTTAGCATTGATAGTCTTGAGAATGCCTCATTCTGAATCTTAGTAATTTTGTTGTGGTTCAGTATCAAAGTTTGGACCTTTGGTAGATTCGAGAATGTACCAGGGGTTATGCCAGTTAATTGGTTGGAGGATAGGTCCAAGTGCTTTAGCATTGATAGTCTTGAGAATGCCTCATTCTGAATCTTAGTAATTTTGTTGTGGTGCAGTATCAAAGTTTGGACCTTTGGTAGATTCGAGAATGTACCAGAAATAACGGCAGTTAATTTGTTGTGGGACAGGGACAACCAGCGCAGTTGGGGTAGATTTTTGAATGCACCTTTAGGAATGTCCGTTAACTGGTTCGAGGAGAGGTCCAAGTTCTGAAGCTCTGGTACATGAAGGAAGTCTGATTGACTTAAAGATATTATCTTATTATGCTTCAAAGATAGGTGAGAGATATATGCTGGTAGGTTCTTAGGGATGTGTGTGTATCCCCGCCAGTTGAAGTTGCAGACTGAGCATGATGTACAGCTGCAGCCAGCATCTGGCATGTTGAGTTCCTTCAGGATGATGAGGAAGAAAATCAGCACGTGTCGCAGCTTGCCCCACATGTTGTCCTGTCACCTGCAAAGAGCAAGGATCAGAAGGTTTTTAGTTGAACAAGCCTGAAGAAGCCACCTTCAAGTCGCTACATGGTGAAATCAAACACCATCAGTAACCATGGTGACCAGGTCCTGGGTCCTGTTTGCTACATGGTGAAATCAAACAACATCAGTAACCATGGTGACCAGCCCCTGGGTCCTGTTTGCCACATGGTGAAATTAAACACCATCAGTAACCATGGTGACCAGCCCCTGTTTGCCACATGGTGAAATCAAACACCACCAGTAACCATGGTGACCAGCCCCTGGGT